CATCAGTGCAGCTACAATTAAGACTTTTCTTAATGGCCATAGCATGGACTCTTGAAAACTGCCATTCCAATGAAAGGCACTGTTAACATCACTGGTGAGCTGGATATAAGCCCTAAATGTTCCCTTTCTGCCTTGTCTTTTATCCTGAAACCTGACACAGATCCAGGACAATGCAGGACTTTGTCACAAGCAGTCCATTAAGCATCTGAAACTCCTGGAACTAAATGATTTCAGTGCTGAAGAGCACAGCCAAATGATAGTGACCTTAAGTTTATAGTCATATAAACCCTTATTCATCTGTCTTGTGCCCAAGCTTATTTTAAATACACAGTTGCAATCTACACTTCTTTCCCAGCAAACACATTAATGTCAAATGCACTTTATTCAAAAGACAATAATGCTTAACTACCTCAGCTTAAAGGCTTACTACTAACAACAGGAATCACAGGCAAAATTGGTAACACAGTTCCAATATCCACTCTTTGAAGGCAATTTGTTTTCTATATTCGAACATGCACAAGGATTTCCATTCTAGACAAATTATTCGAGCTTAACTGTGTTGCCAAAAAAATGTTTTTCACTTGCTTTGCACAGCACTGTTAAAAAAATAAAACTGGAAAACAAAAACTACTGAATACTGCTTTTTCTCCAGTATTGGACAGAACCTGCGAAACGCAGAGTTCCTGCCCTGCGTGTTGGAAACGCTGGACTCTGTTGACCCAGGGGCTTAACGCTCCATAAACCATCTCTTCACCTTCTTCTCCAGGTTCGCCAGCTTGGCCTTCTTCAAAATGAAAAGAATCTCCTCGATGAAATCTCGACCGTGCTCATTCTTCGAGATGGAGTCCAACAAGCTCAGGAGCGTGCCCTCCTCCTGCTCAGTGGCGTTCTCCCGGGTGCGCTTCTTGGCCACAGTCATAAGCCTCTTCAGCTTCTTTTCTGAGAGGTGCTGCTGTGCCACGTACTCCATTACTTCTCGGTCGCAGAGCCTCTTAGCTGTGTAAACAAATGGCACCCATTCATTCCCATTTATTTTCACCCCACCTGATTTCCTGGCTTCAACAGAACCTTAGAGCCAGAATGCAACAAGTTAGAGGGGGAAAAAAAATCCCAATGCAAAGTCCGGCTCAGTGGAAATCACCTGTAACCCTACACAATGACTCTTTCCCTGAAACGCACAATAAAGGTTTTCACTTTTGAAGTGACAGAATTCCCGTCTATTCAGATACCCAGCAATGCGTCATGAACCCCGCAGGGGAAACCGAGCCCTGGTCACATGGAAGCAGTTTCTGCTGGTACACCTGAATAGCCTGCAAAAACTGGAGCTGTGTCCTTTAACTCAATGTCGAGAGAACTGAAAGTGATTCTCATTCAACTACGGACAATAATCTGATTGCGATGCACTGTCACTCTAAGAAGGAATAGTGCCCTTTTGAGTTCTGGCTACTCAGTTTTGATACAATTGTGTGCTTTGCTCTTGGCTACGGAACCCGGGAGGGGCCATTAGTAGGAGAAAAAAAATCATATCGAGGGAACGATTTACAATCCGTGCGCACGAAACAAGTAAATCGTTCCCTCGTGTTCTTTTAATTCGTGCGCACGAAATAATGTTTTTCTAACTCTTTACTTTGGAGTAGGTCAATTCAATTAATCTCTTTCCATTCTCATAAACTGCAGCAGTGTCAAGACAGTTAGGTTTCATTGTACTAATATAAAGACACGGTAACTTGTTAACTAGTGTTTGATACAGCGTTGATAGGAGCTGGGGATAATGCTGGCGTTTTACGTTTAGAAGCTTTCTATGTGCGCGTAGCTACCGAAGGAAAGAGGAAAGAGAAACGTTATTTCGTGCGCACGAATTGTAAATCGTTCCCTCGATATAACTATTCCGTGCGCACGAATTGTAAATCATTCTCTCGATATAACTTTTTTCTTACTGATGGCCCCTCCCGGGCTCCGAACTCATCCAGTCTAACGATAAAGCTTTAGTTTTTGCCCTTGAGCTCTGCAAACGTGGGAGACAGGAACAACTGAAAAAAATCTCTCGCCACCTGAATAGTACAGGCTTCAGTAATATCACTCCCTCTTAGTAAGGGCTAAGAAATTAAATTGGAAACAAAAAAAATACCTTCAACGCTTTTAGCGATTTCCTCGCTCCCGTATTTCTTGCAGGAAGAACAGAAGGTGTCGTGTTTGTCGTCGCCGGGGATGGCTATCTGCCCGGGAGGGCACCATCTGTGCGGCCGACAGGGCTCCGTGCCGGAGGGCGTGGAGGAGTAGGAGCCGATGGGGCAGGTCTGGCACTGCACGTCCTCATGCGCCGTGCCTGCGGAGACCGGGAAGGAGAGAGACGGGGAGTGAGCCGGGAGCTGAAAGCGCATGGACGTGACCTATGTTCAGCTATAGTACAGCAGACGTTATTACAGTAACTATAAAAAATAGGTGTAGTTGAACAATGTCTGTGCAGCTAAAAAAAATGACTTTTAAAAGCAAGCTGGGTGCATCTGTTACGCACTATTATCTTTTATTTCACGACATCCTCAAATATTCAGTGGAGACGGTACTTGACACATCATTAAATACCTGGGCTTAAACGTCCCAGGTTTCGCTTTTTCAACCTGGGACATATTCAAACTCTCGTCTTCTGCGCTCATGTCCACTTTCTTGTACACACTAAGCCTTTATGCCAAACGCACAAAAAAAATCCATATATTCTTAGTCTATAAAATCTATTTTTCTTTACCGAACACACGTACCATTCGCAACAACTCCTTCGCCAGCTGGGCAGACGCTGTGTCTGATGCAGAACTCGTATCTCCGGTAGAAACCAGCCCGGCACTCGCACAGCCTGTTGTGCGTCGGGCTGCATTTACGCTTCTCGAACTCGTTCTCTGTGCAGAACACGTTGCAGTAGCGGCACTCGTCGATGTAGTTCCAGAACTCCGTGTAGTGCAGGCCGGGGCACGGCGCGCACTCGGTCCGCCTGTCTCTGCCGCAGTGCCGCTTCATGTGAGTTCCGGGAGGACACTTCTCACACGTCACGGCTTCCCCCGTCTTGTCATCCTTCCACTGGTAGGTCGGCGTGAGCGAGGCGCCGCTGCCCGCAGCGAAAACCAGGACAGAGCAGCAAAACCACACCGTCTGAAGAGAGGGATAGAGAAGTTCGTCCTTCGCTGCTCTTATTTGAAAGTCGTCCGCGGTTACATGATTTCACTGAGTGGCGCGGAGCTGCAGGTGAAAGTCCTGAATCTGCACAGGCGGTTAGTTCTACCCCTTCTACTGTATCTATTATATACGGTCTACAGCGTGTCACTGCAGTGAAAAGATCGTTTCTGTTCATCAGTCACATTACAATGCCAGATTGTAGAGCGCTTGAAATACATGCACCGTGCCCCGTCATTACAGTACTTTGAAGGAGCTCTTGTCAGTGATTTGGCAGCATCGTGCAACTGCATTTTCTCCTTGATGTTCGATATAATTTCTCTATTCTGCTCTTACAGTGCCTCCCCCAAGACATTGAACCGTTAGAAAAGTCCTCAACAGTCTAAGGAACTCTTTGAATGGACCCATGATCTTCATGCCCTAAGCAATACCTTCTTACAAAATGATCTTTCAGAAACGCTAAATCAGTCGCTTGACAACGGACGGGCCAGTGGAATCTGGGCTCCCGCAATCTATTTATTAAAGAAAAAAATACGGGCTCACTTACCGTGTTCATTTTCTAATGATGCCGTCTCCATGAGCCCCGGGGTTTTTTATACAGTACCTGCCAGTCACTGAAGCGGAAGAATGACTCACACGTCTGTCATCACAATTTACCACAAGCAAAAATTTCCAGAAATAATCTTCACAAAAAAATGCATATCCAAATAAAATTACAACCGATAGTACTAAAGTTTGAAATTAAATAATTAATTCCTAGGGTTACGAAGCGTCCGTTGTTGTTTTTTTCCCCCACGGACATGTCCTCTTCTTTTGGTTCTTAATCTGCGTCTGGGAGAGAGTTTCAAATATCTTAAAACATCCCGGAATTTTCCCTTCTCCTTCCCCCCTCCAGAGCGTTTGGATGCGAAGCGGTCCCTGGGATACAGAGTGTTGATCTTGATCGGATCAGCGAGAGCAGAGAGGTCGTGCGTCAGTTATTATGAGTCGCGGACGGGTTTAAGTGCCCCGCTCCAGTTTCATTCTGAACGGGGAAGATTGCAGCTCTGGCTCAGAGTCGGCACAGGAAAAAAAAAATGAAAAAATAAAATAAACAGATTCTGGAGTGTATAAAACGTTTTATTATCGTGCAGATATCAAATAATATAGATGGAATGTAGTAAACCGCATATACAGTTTAACACGTTATATGGCATTAATAATGTAACGCAACGGGGGCTCAGGCGGGCGCCCTTGCCGCATGAGGTCGGCCCCCCACCGTCGGGGGCTCGAAGCCGGGACTCCCGCGTCACTCAGCAGGGACCCAGCCCGGTGAGCCAAAGAGAGATATCTTTACAGCCCGGTAGCTGTAGTCCTGCTATCACAGGGAAGGGCGGCGACGACACCGCTCTGATAAGGTACATACCTACATAGAACCTGTCGGACGTAAGCTTTACAGTATATAAACCCAATTATAATGGTACAAATACCCCTCATTCCACTCTGACGGAGGGGGGTGTTCTGATATAGATACCCTGTTAATGCCTAACTAGATGCGCTATTGATTAGTATAGAGTTTCGGCAAAGGGATCTAGGTGATCAATTTCCCGCGTGTGCTTAGTCATCCAATAGAGCTCAAATCAGTTCACTATTAGCGCGTTTATTTATTCTCCAGCTGGTCTCCACAATGTGAACTACAAAACATAATCAGTTAAGCGTTTTGCAAACTAAATGCCCAGATGCGACACCCTCGACGTACTATGAGACAGGAATCGTCATATACGAGTGTCATAAGGAACTTTTCCGCGCATTGCAGGCAAAACATTCTTTCAGAGCTGACTGCTTCATTATATGATTAAATTATGTCAATCGTTCAAGAGAAGAATTGTTTGTACACATATTCTGCGCTTGACAGGAATGGACGGCACGATCCGGAGAAAACAATAATTATAAGGGCATTATGATCAGACACGAATGTAATTGAATTATTCACCTCATGTATTGTATTGCGTCTTATGAGATGCTTTTTATAACAATTCGATGTACTCTTAATTTCAAATCTGTTGGCACATTCGGGTATAAGGTGACGCCCTCCACCCACGCAACCCACTGGGGAAACGAGCCGAGTCTCATGATAAAACACATGCACAGCCCTGAGAGGAGATTCCGAGGGGAAATGTTGGCTTTTCAAGTGGGGCGCAACGGTGACTGTATGGACGATGCGAGAATCAGCGGCCGACCCCGTAGGCTCTGAGGGTCGAGTGTTTCGTTATAGACAGTTTATCCAAATCCAAAGAAGCGTCACATGAGGTTATTCAAAATTTCCATTTGCTCGTCCAAAGCAAATACGACAAGCAACACTGAAGCCTTACAGTACTTACAGTAGTGGCCGCTGAACACTAGCGCATGTTATCAGAGAAATATAGGTGGACAGTCTGTCTCGCCTCTTTGAAGTGGACATAATGTTACTGCTGTCCTTATACAGTATGTTGACTTGCAGAGCCATTTCACATTTTCGGCTCTGAATGATTATCGAGTGCAAACCAACACGTTCTATAAAATGCCAGTAAATAAAACGCATCCCATAAAAGGTTTGCCTGAACAGGGGAAAAAAATGCGATGAGTACGGATTGGTTACGATAGATTTCTTTAATCTCAATTACCTTTTCTTTAGGTTTAAAGCTACTACGCGCTAAAGACTAAAGAAAGAACAGGAACACACCTGCAGACCAAAACTACATCACCTCCTCGACTTCCGAGTCTCGATTCTTGTATTTCCCACTTCGCTAATTTCAGGTGTTCGATATCCGCAATCGCTGGCTGTGTTATGTGGGCGGAGTGGGAGGTTTTAGACTAAAATTTGAGCATTTGACGCGAAACCGGCGCTTTGGTTGAAAAGGAACCAGTAGGTCTGTCCAACGTACTAGCCGACTCCAGAAGTAAACTCGATTTCTGAAAGAAAATCGACCACAGAAAAGATGCAAAGTTGTAGTAAAAGTCAGTGTCCTTTTAATCGGTCATCATCGATCATGGACACCAGTCTTCTGAATGTGTTTAGTGGGCTTCATAATTGGATTTTTTTACCTGCTCCGGGGCACCAGAACAAGTGATAGGTCAATTACCCATTTGAATAGGAAAGCAGATTTGGTGCGTAAGATCCAGTAATTGCAAAACACATTAGCGCTCTAAAAAAAAAAAACTTAGATACTTGAACCCTTAATCGTTTTTCATTAATATGGTTTCTATACATGCGTCAACAACCCGCAAGTTTCAAAACCAGTCAACGTCCACATTATCTGTGATTAAGAGATCTGGTAGCATTAAACAAACGGCGCTGCGCATATTTAGACTGCTCTTCTAGTCCGATATCTGCTAAAGCAAAAATATGAAACCTTATTAATCGACCCGCCTGGTTAAAGTTTTAGCTAAATCTCTGCCTTTGGAAACTGTGACCCATAATTATAAAGATTAAGTTAGCAATTACTGGCTTAAAAAAACAAACAAATCAGGTTCCTATGTAAATGTTTGATTTATAGATGTGTTTAGGTAATTCTTTATCAACATCACAACTTACACAGTATGGATGTTTACAGTCTTCATAAAGAATAACTAACAGAACATGCAGAAAATATTTAATGACTATAGTTTCCAACATTATATGCATACAGTAGATGTCAGATTTCAGTTAATTTGTGTGTTGTCCTCCATATGTATTGTGTGTAGTCCAGCTTTGTGTCCTGTGATGGACTGGTGTTCTGTTTAGGGTGAAGCCCTGCTTTCTGACTCTTGTGTCCTGTCTAGACACCAGTCCATCACAGGACACAAGGCAGGACCACACCCTGGCCAGGACACCAGTCCGTCACAGGACAAAAGAAAGGACACACCCTGGGCAGGACACCGATCCATCACAGGACACAAGGCAGGACCACACCCTGGACAGGACACCAGTCCATCACAGGACACAAGGCAGGACACACCCTGGACAGGACACCAGTCCATCACAGGACACAAGGCAGGACCAAACCCCAGTTCATCCCAAGACAAATTTAGAAACCTCTAAATTAACCTAGTCAGCATGTTTTTTTTGAAAAAAAAATGAACACCAGTCGAAAGGGCCCCAAGCAATAATCAAAGCAAAGATCTTTTAGGCAGCAACACAAAGTCGCCCTGAATCACAGCTTCAAACATATTAAAGAAAAACAATCTGAGAAATGTTGAATTCCTTAACGTCTCTATAACTCTTGGCAGGGGAGACGTGTAGAACATACAGTTGCTTACCGTGCATCATGAGGCTATCACAGATGAGACACAGTCATAATGCAACATCGGGTTTGATTACATGATGAACACGGAGCATATTTGAAAGAGCTGAATGATGAATGAGGCAAAGGTCAATAGTAAGTCACATGCAAGGATTCTTAAGCAAGCTTAAGCTGCTGTAAAGATTTGATAGTAGAGAAAGAGATAAAAAAAATTGACCCTGATTTTAAATGACATCATTTAAAATAGAATGGAGCTCTTTTTTTCCAGCTTGTTTTTCACAGGGAAATGGTAGCATCACGTTTACAGACAGTTTTAGGCCCGGGGCTGTTGGTGTTTTAATTTTTAAATAGAACCAACAGACTGTTCTTGGCAGTGGGAATCTGCCAATGTAAGCTTTGTGGTTTCTTTTTCTTTGTGAGGGTAATGACAAAAGATTTGCCTTTAATTAGTTCCCACAGACGACAGTCCTGTTGAGTAAAATACAAGTTTTACTTTGTGTAATATTTAGGAAAATTGATTTTTGTTTATAATAGTGATGGAACGTGCTGCTTTGAACTTGTTTTTAGCACTTCTTTTCAAAAGACTGAAACTTTAATTTTTCTTTAGTTATTGCACATTACTCACAATAGATGGAGTTTCATGAGCTGTGAACACAACTGACTTCTACATTTTTTGTTATTTCTCTATTAAAATTCTGCAGACAAATTTCTTTTATATTTCTTTCTTTTCGGAGTCAAACAGGAACCAAGCTGCCCTTAGTGCATTAATAATTCATACTTTTCAGTAATTAGGTTATATGTGGTTACATTAGTCTATTCTGTGCGACTTTTGCAGTGGAGACCACAGATCAAATTCTGCAAGTAAACCTGAAAGACAGTGGTTGAAACCTGTTGCTGCATTTTGTTAATAATGACACTAAGAATGAAACTGATTTTCAATTTTCAAAATGTGAAAAAAACAACAAAGAAATACATAAATCACATGAGGCAGCTGGTGCATTAGTAATATTTACAAATTTTCTTGGGGAAAAAAAAAAGATGTCCTTTGTGCTTCTATTCCCACATGATGTGCGTCTCAGACTTAATCAGCTTTTCTGCCTTCATTCTGAAACCTCAGCCTTTATCAAAATAGAAAGCATTTTCACACACATTTCTGCTATTTCGAAAATGACTGTACAATCAATCTTTTAACATGACTTTTCTGAACATTTTAGGGCAGTTTCTGTAGCTGAAAGCAGTGGCACCTGTTTCCAGCACTGGATCAGCCAGTTCCTTCATCCCTGTCAAGTGTGCACAACCTAGTCCTTACACTGCTAGACCCAGTTCCACTGAGCCTTTTTTCACCCTCTTGCTTCTCTTGGGAAGCTGCTGTTGCATTTAGTTTCTCTCATTTGCCTCATCTTTCAACTGGAACAGAATCTGTATAGTCAATACTGGCTACTGCTTGTACATTTAGAAATCCATCCATTCTCAAACCGACTTACCCAATACAGGATCACAGGGGAGCTAGAGTCTATCCGGGCAAGCACTGGATATGAGACAGGGGACACTGCACCCTGGACTGGATGCCAGTCCATCGCAGGACAGATACACGGGCATGCACACACTCGACCAGGGCCAATACTGGTTAATCTATCAGTATGTCTGTATGAACATACTGTACAAACTCCACACAGACTGTACCCCAGGAATTAACCCAGGGCCCCAGCAATGCAAGGTACTGTAGCAATACCAACCACCTACATTAACACACCTACACCTACAAAATACCATGCCATCCTACATTTAGAAATGAGTGAACAAAATAAAAGAGCCACATAAAAACATGTTTTAACCTCAAAATGCCCTCTTTTATACTCAAATTCCCATGTAATAACACAGCCCCGCATGAGAATTCTGTTCACATTGAGTGCTGACAAAGGGTAGTTTGTCTCATCTGATTACAGTAATTCTGTAGTAAGAATTACAGAGAATTTTGGAAGTGTGTGACCTGTACTTTCCATGAATAAGGACCTTGTGCAATAAATAAACACCCAGCATCCTAGATAGTTCTTAGAAAAGACACAGCAGTACCTGCAGCCATATTGTCAAATGTCCTCCATGAAAGCTAAAACACATCCACATCGCATGACAGATTCTTGAGAATAATACTGACTTGAGATGCGTTTGCATAGGAGATCAATTGCACATTTTTCTAGAAAGTCTCAAAATAATGTGCCAGGCAGTCCTACATGCCTTTGAGATGTAGCCTGGCAAGTATTAACCAAAGTCAACTTTTACCTGTGCCATAATTATTTTAATATGCCTGGAAGACAATGTTCCCTTAAAGACCGTTAACAAAAGACTTCGGAAGTTAATTAGCAACAATTAACATTTGGTGGTTTTTAATCTCTGCACTTAAAAAAACCTTGCAAAGATTAATTGGATAACGTAAAAGAACTTCTACTTACTCCCAAACTACTAAAACTACTCTAAACTCGATTTTTTGTTCTAAAAAATAATTAAAAACATGTATGGATCATTAGGTTTCTCAGTGAGCTCAAGTAATACAACTTTGGCATATACACCTGAAAAGGACTTGTCTTTAATATGAAATATAAAAAATAATTATTTACCAAGTACATACAAGCTTTTCATTAAATGCTCATTATTACACAACATTCTTACATTATGAGGCAGGCATATGAAGCAAATTACTTCATTCCAAACCTGTTTTTCACTCTTTCAAGGATATTTAGTTTCCTTTTTTTAATTTTAGTTAAACTGTCAGACAAAAATGCAAGTAAAAGTTAAATAAAGTAATAGAAGAAGAGTTCGAACAAATGTACCATTACAGTTGTTTTGAAACACTGCAACAAACTCAGGGATACTCCAGCCTATGAGTTCAAAAGCACCTGAGAACTGTACACGGCGTGTGACTCAGCTGAATATGGAAAAAGCAAATGTTTCTAGAGCATGACTCTGCATCAATAAGACAGGAACATTTCTCCTGGTAGAAGTTCCTGATGACCAAGCGTGGCATTTACACAATAGCAGTTCTGTTAGAAAGGCTGACTGGTCACCTGTTTTTAGTTTTGTTTAGTTTAATCCTTAAGAGACAATGAAGAACCTTATCCAGATCATGAGGATTATACTGGTTGCTTACAACCCTGTGAGGTCAGTCCAGTTGTGCAATTCCATTGTTTAACTCTGCAGTGCCAAGGAAAGGACAGATGTCCTGGGTTTGATTTCATGGATTGAAGGGGGTCAATACACAACCAATCAAAGGAGGGTTTACATCAGGAAGAGCTCTCGGTATGAGGAAACAGTAGGCAGAGGGAGATCTGAAATCATGTTTAAGGTTCAGGAGGGACAGTGCAAAGATTCAGACTAGAGTAAAGAAGACCAAAGTCTAAGTAGGCTAGACCACAGATGAAATAAGGAAAAGTAAAAAAAACAGACAGTGCGAGGGTTATATTACTGAAATCACTGGCAATTACTGGTCTCAAAGGCAGTTCACATCACAGTGTAAAATCTCTCAGATCACTTTCAGATGAGTTTTTAGAAGCAGCCAGGCTTGAGAAACAAAAAGTCTGTGTTTCACAGAAAGGAGTCAGCTGCTGCTCTGTCCATTGACTGGGCTGCTCTCTAACTTACAGTTCACTTGCAGGCTGCTGGAGAAGAAAGATGAGATCTTGCTTTGTCCTTTTCCAGAAGTGTTAGCTTTTGACACTTGAGAGAGAGAGAAAAAACATGATAAATTCCCCAGAAATAAAGAAAAGCATCCATTTTTCAAAATTATTCTTTTCAGCAATTTATTTGCATAGGACTGAAAATATTACGAGAATTTCAAGATGTAAGATCCGAGCCTGTATACACTTTCCAAAATCTTTAAGAATAAGGCATAAATGAGTGTTTTTCTGATTACTGCAGTATTAAAAATAATCAAATCCATTTAGTGTTTACACAGTCATCAAGATTATTCTGATTATATTTATGAACAAAAAAGCTTAATTTGCAGATAAATTATGTGATGTTTTGTAAATGTAATTACAGTTTATGCTCAGCAAAAATAAAGGGCTGGTAAATCATGCCAGTTCTCATTGTAACTGGATATCCAGGCTGGCTAATGCAAAATCACTTCTAAGCCTACGTTACTTGTAGCACTTGATATCGCTCATTTAACATGATGGATATCAATATTGGCCTTTTCAATTCCTAGACATGAATCCCCATCAACCACAAGTACAAGAAGCTGCTGTGCATTCACAAAGCCTAACAAGAACTACAGCATGAACTACTGCCTTAATGCAGTTCAGAAAAAATGCAAGGTGGTTGAAATGGGAGAAGGTTCCACAAAATTAAATGTTTAAAGTTTTTCAGTATCTTCTTCTTCTTCTTTTTCACAGCCTTAGTCCCAGACTGTCCTGGGGTCAGCTGCGTTGGTTGCTCTTCTCCACTTGTCTCTGTCGAGCACATCTTCCTCACTCACTTCACATACCTCCATATCTTTTCTCACACAATCTATCCATCTCTTTCTAGGCCTGCCTCTTCCTCTGTTACCTTCCACCTCAAATTCCATTACCCTCTTTGTTACTTCCTCAACGTCCCTCCTCATGATATGTCCATACCACCGTAACCTCGCCTCTCGCATCTTTTCAACCACATCCACCACCCTACATCGTCTACGGATTTCTTCATTTCTGATCTTATCCTTCATTGAAATCTGCAGAATCCATCTCAACATCCTCATTTCAGTTCTTCTCATCAAGTTCTCTTCCCTCTTTCCAACTGCCAAGCATTCAGCTCCATATAGTAGTACAGGTCTAATCAAAGTCTTGTACATTTTGCACTTTAACTTTCTAGGAATTTTCCTGTCACAGATTATTCCAGTTATTTTTCTCCACTTGTTCCATCCAGCTTTCACTCTTTGTTTTACTGCCTCCAGTGTTTCTCCTCCCTTTACCAGTTTTGATCCAAGGTATTTAAAGCCATCAACTTGTTTCAGTTTTCCTCCATTTGTCTCCTCAACATTGGTCATAGTATCTCTTCTTCTCTCCATTACCATTATTTCAGATTTTTCTGCATTCATTTTCAGTCCACCCTTTTCCAGACTCCTCTGCCATTTGAACACTTTCTCCTGTAGTTCTACTTCTGAATCTGCCATCAGTGCCACATCATCAGCAAAGATGAGTTCCCAAGGCACTTCTGTTCTTACCTCCTCTGTCAGTGTGTCAATAATGTTTATGAAAAGGAAAGGACTTAGTGCTGATCCTTGGTGTACTCCAACTGTGATTTCAAAGTTTTTCAGTATGTAAAATAGAAAAAAAAGTCTGTTTCCAGTATGCTCATTTGATTAGTGTACTGTTACACAGAAACTGGTCTGATATTATTTCATTATAACTTGATCCTGTTACCGAGGTATAATGATAGCTGATGGTGAGATAACATTAACATTAAACATTAAAAACTGTACATTTTTACCTGGAAGCTCAAGGCTTGCGCCAGCCTGTTCAGCCTTCAAATTCTCATTAACAGATGACTGCTTCTCCTCCCCAGACAGCTCTTTAAACATCTGCAGAAACTGCTGCTTGTGTTGAGGGCGAACAAACATGGCAAATGCTAGTAAAAACAAAGGGAAAATTATAAAAAAAACTGCAGAATCCTAGTTTTCCTCTGTGATGATGTATGTGAACAGAGAAACCTTGGGAGGTTACTGCTACAGTCAATTGAAGATGAGAAGGTCAGACGGCATAGCATAGTGCATTCTGGGACTGCCAGGGTGTCCTTAGTGTACCACAGTGCATTCTGGGATGGCCAACATGTCCCTAGCGTACCATGGTGCATTCTGGGATGGCCAGCATGTCCCTAGTATACCACAATACCTCCTAGGATCTGTAGGGTCCCTGTGAGCTCAGAGGGTATTACCCAACTGCTCAAGCTCCTGTGAAGCTCTGTGGAGCAGCCTGTGTGTGACCTGCAGGAAAACGTTTCCTGCTGAAACAACAGTTAATTTAAACTGGCAATTCCAAAATCGGGAGTATAAAAATGCAGATGCCAAATGTGAAATGAATTGTATTGAAATGTATTTGGAAAGTGCAAAAAACCTTAAGTAAAGCAAAAAAGAGGCTGGTTTTTTTTTCTCGCATAGGCAGTGAAATTTTCGTAATTTAAAGGTGTCTCACTTTGGTTCATAGTCTTCAAGATCAGAGCAAATGGAACAAAAATAATTTTCCGGCTATGTGAACCACAGAAAGATGAAGGTGGGCGAGAGAATTTCACGTGACCTTTGTAAAAGGGAAACAAGTAAGCACAACCTCACATGCTTAATTTTTCTAATATCATCTCTTTTAAGCGGAAAGAAAAAAGTGCTGACCTTTAATCTGAATATCAAATTTTTGTATTTTCCCTCCACAAAAGCTTAGTGCAATCATTTTATAACTCATTCTATAAATTCGTCAGCCCTGCTGAGCCCCTTAATTTCCAGTCATGAAAGTCTGATTAGAATTAAAAAATGCCACCCCAAAAAAGGACAAAAATAGAAGTACAAAAAAAAATTGTTTGGCATAAAACTCAGAGATGAAGCATCAGCACTGGGGCTCCTCAGGTCAGATCTTATCCTCGTTTCCACTGCGCTATGCGGGCAAGTGAGTACTGTAAGTGACTCAAAGCCCTCAGACCCGCCACATCCCTCCACCCGATTCCCAGGAATCAGCCAGCATGAAAGAAAAATTGAGCCCCTTTATACTCAAGCTGGAAAATAAAGAAAAACATTTTATCGGAGGAGCCTTCACACACCTCAAGAGCCACAGTTGAAACGTTCTTTGCTTCTACGCTTCAGTATGAAATGAACCCCCTTTTTTGTTTTGGATAACTTGCTTCTGCCAGCAGCCATATCACCCTGCAGCTCTCAACTGGCGGCTCCACCGAAGCTCAGCAGGGTTGAGCCTGGTCAGTACCTGGATGGGAGAGCTCCTGGGAAGCTATGGTTGCTGCTGGAAGAGGTGTTAGTGGGACCAGCGGGGGGCGCTCACCCCGCTGGTCTGTGTGGGTCCTAATGTCCCGGTATAGTGGCAGGGACACTATACTGTAGTGGGCGCCGTCTTTCGGATGAGACGTTAAACCGAGGTCCTGACTCTCAGTGGTCATTAAGATCCCCGGGGATTTCTCAATCAGAGTAGGGAGTTATCCCGGAGTCCGGGCTAAATTTCCCCCCTCGGCCTTTACCGTGGCCTCCATATTGTCCCCCATGTATGATTGGCTTGCACTTGCCCTGCGATGGACTGGCTTGCCGGGTAGGCTCCGGCCTCCCACAACACCGTATGGTATAAAGCGGTTTGGTAAATGACATGGCATGACATAACTTACTTCTCAGAAGGTGGAAGTCTTCTGGTTTTTCAGTGAAGAGGCCCACCACCGTAGAAACCATGCTGTCATAGTGATCAGTCTTTTTGTAATGCTGTATTGCCTCATGGAACTGGCTGTATTTAGCTGGGCCAATGGCCTTTTTCACATCGCTCAGGTAGGTTGAGAGAACCTGGTTTTTGTGGGCCGACAGATTCTGAGGTTTGTCTTTAGGAACCATCTGATGGGATGGGTGGGGATCTACGAAAATAAAAACAAAAAAAGCCACTCTTAGTCTAAGAAGACAGTACTTTAGAGCAAAAACAGAGCTTTACAAGCTCTTATTTCCTTTTCAAAAGTTGTAGATGCAGTATACAGTCTGCTGGTTAGTTTAGGTTTGGACATATATTGATGTGCATCTTTCTAATTCACCAGGGTTGCTAATTTACAGTAATTTAACATTAAAATAAATAAATTGCATCCTCATGACTTGGAATAATTTAAATTCTCTTGAACCTTAAAACAATAAACAATAAAACTCTAGAGTAGTTAGGAAGTACACTATGAATAAAGTAAAGCATTAGTCACACGGTAGAATATTGATTTAAGTATAATAGCTACACTTATTTTTAATATAGCCTAAAGGAAGAGCTGCATTAGTGGAGCAATCGTCATGGTTGTCCGGAAGGCAAAACTTAACCACATTTTGTTTGGGCAATGTCTAAGACTGCACGGTGTTTCCATTTGCTTTAGTTTTGTTTCTACTGTAACAGGCTCTGAGAGGATGTGCGTGTACTTGGAAGAGCTACAATTGTAAAGGATTTTACAGAGAGTATCTGCCTGAAAAACAAGTCAAATGTAAGCACAGCCTAAAACACGTACTAATTCAATAGTTTGTTTATAGTAAGAGCCCTGATGTCAAAGGGTATAAACAGAATGTAAAATCTACAGACCACAGCAGCATACAGTAACTCCAGCCCTGGAGAGTTGAAATTCATCAGATCTCTTTACATCTCCAGCACCTAAAGAACTAGGAACAGCCATTGCTGTTGATTGAGCCAAGAACTGGACCAATCAGGTATTTAACAGTCTGAGTGGAGTGAAAAGCTACAGACAGGGCAGCCCCCAGACTGGACTTGGACACCTCTGTTATTGTCTGACTATAGTCTACAGACTGTGGTCAGAGATCCAACACTTCACTCCCAGAGGGTTTCTCTATAACGAAAAGTATTTTAAGACAACATCAAAAGTCAATCTAATCTCATTTGTAATCTACGATTATCAGACTTATTTCTTAGCTCTCAAGTCATACAGTGCTTATGTGTCACAGCACTGATCACAGGCATCATAATTTATGGCTGATGGTTGTATAATTGTTAGCCAACCAAGATGAACTGCCAGTGACCTGTGATAACACTCTGGTGGAGATGAAGACTGCACAGGCTTGTTCCAGGCTGTGTAATATACGACAGCAACAGCAGAAGTGCTTTACTGTACCTGGAAACAATTACTAATTGTTTTATTACAACTAATAACTAATTTTAACGATTGACCTGCAAGTTCTTTTCCCTTCAGTAGTAAGACCTAATGCATTGGGATGAAGATTAATTGAAAACAGACCCAAAATGAGATTGGTGCTAAATTCTGGACAGGACACCAGTTCATCACAGGACACAAGAGCTAGATGCCAGGTCACTGCGTTGCCACACAGACATTTTGCTAAGTTGAAAGATGCAAAAGATTAATATCTCCTTATGTTTTTGTATGTTGAAATAATTTACACACACCCTTGTTGACACAACTGTGCCATTACACTCTGTCCGTGTAACGTATCAGCATTTGAAACGGTTTCAAGTCTGCACTGGCTTCTGTCAAAGATGGTCATAGATGCCGACTGAATCGATAGTCAGCGTTCCAGGACAAACACGTGAAACATCTTGCTTAAAGTTTTTCAAATCTGCCGACTAAAAACACTGACACCCCTAACTAAAAGACACAAGTGGAAACGATGTGGAAGTGCATTTCAAACTGACAATAGGAGGTATTTCTTTACGCAAAGGGGTGTGGGAGTCTGGGACAGACTTCCCGGCCGTGTTGTTGAAGCTCTATCTGGATGAGCTCCTTGGGCCAGTCAGCTACTATTTGCTGCATGTCTTGCCCTCGTCTGTGACCTCGTGTTCCTGTGCTTTTCTGTTATCATGCTTTCAGCTGTCAGACCGCTGGGAGGCCCCAAGGCCTGACAGAATCACTCACCCTGGCTCAAGCCCCCCGTGTGGAGATGAGAGCCCCCACGGTTCAGCTGCAGGCTCGCGTTCAGCTGCGTCGAGGCGTCAGACTCGCCAGGAGCTGCGCACCGCTCGGCTTCTTGAGTTTTGTCCTCCTTGGCTTCACCAATGAATAAAAAAAAAACAGGCAAGGTGAACATCTGAGTGCTACTTTTGTTACTTCTTAGCTACTTCTGTAGCTAAGGATCTGTGCCTGTGGCTGGAAGGTTGCCTGTTTCAAATCTCTCGGCCGGCAGAGGAATCTTACTCCACTGGGCCCCTGAGCAAGGCCCTTAACCCCAGCTGCTCCAGGGGCGCCCTATAAATGGCTGGCCCTGCGCTCTGACACCAAGCTTCTCTCCCTGTCTGTGTGTCTCATGGAGAGCAAGCTGGGGTCTGCGAAAAGACATATTCCTAATGCAAGAAACTGTATATGGCCACTAAAGTGATCTTATATCTCTTATATCAATTTCAAACTGTTTCAGGATGAAGATGTGGTTTTATCCTGCCTTGTGCTCCGTATTGGATAAAGCCAAAATGTTAGAAAACAGCTGGGACGGATTTAAACTGTCTGCCCAGGATTTTTCGGTTCCCGTTTCTTCTTCGGTTATTATCTGCCATTCTTAAACGCTGGAGCCCAGAAAAAAAAAAAAAAAACTTACCATAGAAATGATAGGAAATACAGTAAGGTAGTGTATCAGTATAGCAGCTCATTTTGACCTGATTTCTGTACCTAGAATATATGGTGATTTTCAAAAAACTTTCATCTGAGGTTACACAATTCTTTCAGTTTATAACTGACGCCGTGCAGCGCGCTCTGCTTTATGCCACAATGCCCAGAGCGCTGTTTGACACGTCGGTTAAATCATTTTTAGCTTTCACCCATGCTCTGGGCAAATCCAGACCCAGACTTGTCTTTCAGGGTTTTTTTCCAAGTATTTTCTGCATTAGTGGTGTGACGGCAGAGCCTGTCGGCACGTGATGCATTCCAATCCGCTCCACTATGGAATGTCGGCCCAGCGAGCCCGTTCGCTGAGAAACTGATCTTTAAAATGAATCGTCAAAAAACAAAAGGAGAAGGCTGGAGCCCAAGGGAGAGCAGATTTATGGGTTTATCCTGGCTGCGCTTGCAGGGGTGAAGAGTTGTGAGGTGTACTGGAGGAGGGCTGCTAAGTTAGCCATGTTTCACGTGCTCTTAACAACATATAAACACATTAGTCATGTTTAAAAGCATATGAAAGTGACATTTTACCCTGGTTCTCAGCCTTATGCAAGGGAAGCTGAGTACATAACATTGCAAGCTTCATTCATACATATCAAAAGTCATGTCTCATTCCTGATTATTGGGGAGGATATGACCGTACTGGATGTCCTTCCATTTATCATGACAATAAACAGGTGGACATGAGATAAACTCACCAATCTAGCCTTAATTAATTAAATTTTCAGTCCGTACAGTGAAGCAGAAGCCTGCAGTGCTCAGCAGGAAAACAGACCAGCGAGAGCAATGGGCTATGGACAGGATCGATATGAAGCCATATTTTTTTTCCTGTGGCATTATTTGAATAATTGAATTGGAAGACAGGAAACAAGCAGGGCCGGCTGAACTTTCAAATCTCCCTTTGTGGTAGGGAGATTTCTCAAACAGAAACACTGACTCACAATCCTTTTCTCTTCAGAATTCAGTAAATGTTGAAGAGGTCACAACTATCCCACAATTAAATAAAAACCACCTGATGTCCTTCACACAATGATTAAAAACAATAGGATCCAGTTGAAGAAAAGGAGTACAACGACTTACAATCACTGGTAAAAAAGGATATTAAAAAGGCTGAAAAAGATGGAAAGTTGGATAGGAATACTGCAATGGGAGCTAAAATAAGTTTTCAGTACTACAACAGTAAAAGGACCATTGAGGATGAAGTGAAATATGTCTAGGATGATAATGCCAAACTTCTAGACAATGAAGGGAAATAGCTGATGTATTAAATTTGTTTTGCTTTATTACACTGAGGAACAATATGTTCCAGTCAGCGGAAGGGCTAAGTTCTGTCCTGGACAGCATCAGCACAGAAAAGGCAGAAGTGTTTTGGGTAAGTACGTAAGCCGAATAAATCCCTCATGTCTCGATGGTATTTTACCAACTGTACAAGTGGAATCAGGAGCTGTTATACATAAGCTATTGACGCAAGTCTTCCAACAGTTACGCAGAAAGATGAAACTCAGTAAGCGGTGAAGTATGGACTGGAGGATCAGTAGTCTAGTTCTTAAGAAGTGTGACAAAGCTGACTCTTGCATGTAAGGTTATTCATGTACTATTCTTAACTTTAAACAAATTGGAGACAATTTATAAGGAAAAACGGTCCTAGGGAATCATCAACATAGATGTAGAAAAGTGATGGAGCCTGCTAACAGCTTTTACATGCTGAACTGTAACCATCACGCCCGCTTGATCACAGAAGCATTCCTCCCCTGTACTTACCCCCAAATGGTGAATGTTTACACTAAACTCCTGATGACAAAGGAAGGTTTCTATTTCCTTCGGTTACATCAAAGACAGGAGGGAGGAAGAGGAGGGGCGGGGGGGAAGTATATTTAAGTTCTGTAGGACCATATCCACTTTGAGATAGATAGGTACTATAACTATTATGGTGCTTATTGTGGTTCCTTGTATGCATAAAATAAAGCTTGGCTGGACAAACGAACACTTCAGGCTCCAATTTCTTGGTTTCTACAAAAGGTAGATCCTGCAAAGATCATATACCGTATCTCAATTTTCAGAAGGCTTTGATAAAGTTCTTCTGGTATTGCTGGTAAATTAGTCAGGTTTGCAGATGATTAGCAAATGTTGTAGCAGCCAAAGAAATTCAAAAAGATTTCTGTAAAATTTGCGACTGGAAAAAAACCCGACAAATGATGTTCAATGCAGACAAGTGCAGGGTTTACATGTTGGTAGAAACCTATAATGTTAGAAGAGGCTGCTTATGAAAAACACGTTTATGTTCACACACCATTTACATCTCACAGATAATGTGGCGAAGCATTAAAAAGGCAAACAGTGTTAGGATCTATAGTCAAAAGCATAGAATTTAAATCAAGTGATGTTAATATTAAAATTGTAGATCACTCTTGTAAGATCTCTTTTATAATACTGTGTAAAATTCAGCACTTTACTGAAAAGATATTGCTGCTCTGGAACCAGTCCAGGCAGAGTTGAGCAACCAGATTCATTCCAGTGCTAAAGATTAAGGGCTTAAGTTTGACACCGACCGAGGTAGTGAACCTTTACAAGCATTCAAAATCCTCAAGGGCACTGACAAAGTCAGCCGAGCAGATTTCTGCAGAACGAGCAGTGAAACACCAGAGAGTATGTGGAAGTGCATCTAAAAGCAAGACCAGGAGACAGTTCTTTACCCAAAGGGTGGTAGGAGTCCGGAACAGGCCTGTTAGAGACTATTGAATGGGCCAGTCGAGCCCACTGTTCTTTTACTGCACGTTCTTATTTTTCCCCCCTTACAAGACCTTAAGGCACCAGACCAGGAGCCTCTAAATCAACTCTTGCAGAGAGATCCATCCAGTGGGTTTCACAGGTCAAACCCAGAAATCACCAGTTTCTAATGATGACAGACAATTCATCACTTAGGAGTGCCTCTTGTTTAACTCTGTAATCATGACAACGTTTCAGAACACTTCCGCCTTGAGGCCTCCCCAGTGTTTCCCGCCTCTGCGCCCACAGAGTAGATGACTTGCTGAATGAATCAAAACCTCACATTTGCTCCAAATCTGTATCAAGCAGTGATTTAGGATGATGTATATAAACAGTCTGGGCTGCGGCTTTATTGTCAAGCCGTGTAACCGACAAAAGGGAAACCTGAACCACCTGTTTGCTCTTGGATTCAGCTTTGTGTATGGTGTTTAAAATTATAAGCCAAAGATTCAGACACTGAACTACAGATGTTTGCACCATGACTATATGATAAGTCTGCTAAAACATTAATTTTTTTTTAGCAGAAGATTATCCCCCCTGCCAGCCCCTGCCTAGTGTCATAATCTCCGATCTCCTCTCCCTGGGTGTAACATTTTCTACAGAGAGTAATGAAAATCATGGAGTTATCATTTCAAGACGCATACCAGCATTGAAAGGTATCAACGGGCATGTAGCTGCTTGGAAACCTTCGTTTCATTCTTTTTTGGGTTTTGTTTTCTCTCCTCAGTTTCCTAGCAACTATGCAGCCTTAGAGACAATTACGTTCATATTGTCATCCAGACATCTCTGTTTGAAAGTCTGTCTTTTCTTGATTCTCCACTGCTACTACCAGATTACAGTTACCTGTGATTTAAAAAAGGTCCCTTCATTCGCTAAAACCTTAATTAGTTTGTCATGTGCGAGTTCCTTCCCAGAAGAAGCAGTGTTTACCACATATTTAAAATGTCTAATGCTTTATGAGATAACATTGTATTTTTACACAAAAGCTATATATTATATTTTGGATAATATAACTACTAATTAATTCCCATACTGTGCATAGTGTGTCTATTTTGATGTATAATAAACTTATAACTTAATTTATGAATGTATGCTTTTCGAGATGAAAGTATATAGATGTTGGATGCTGTTGAAATATTTTTGGCATCGACTGGATTAATTGACCATTCATAACTGACCTTGACTTGGGAGTTGACTGGTTACAGAGGATGAGATGATGTAAAATATTTGACCATCAAGTCTAGTGTAAATGGAAAAAAAAAACACCGAGGGGAACCAATATCCCCCACGAAACAAGACAACAGTACCATGGCACCACCAGTATTCCAGGAAAACGCTTTAACTTCAAACGGACTTGCCAGCAGTGAAGCCCAGTCCTCCTTCTGATGAACTGACCTCCCTGATGGATGCCAGCGAGTGTGGCACAGCTACGCAGAACAGAGGATACGCGCGGTGGACAACACAGACCAATGGATGGGGTGGCCACCAACAGTGTGATGATCCGGGCACCCGCTACAGAACCCCCAACTGGCGTGCGTGACGACCTGGGACCTCACACGCCACCCCCTCCTGCGGGCCCATCAGCAAGTGACAACGTCCCAGCAGGACAGCCAACACCTCCCCCCAGCAGCTCATAAGTCTATGGCTCTCTCGTGGGATGCGAACACAGAAGAGCGTGACAATATGCAAACTGGGAGGCTGCCCGGCCCTCTTTTCAGAATGCCACGGATGCCCTACTCACTAGACCCGAGTCCCAGTGAACATCTGTGGGATGGGCCAGGAAGGTGTGTCATAAAATCACCGGACGTTGCCTCAAACACATGAATTGTTGAATGTTGAGTGTTGAATTTGTATGGAAGGTGTTGCAGGCACGAGTAATGTTTTTCCTTTGATGACCGTTATACACAGCTCACAAAGCCCTATTGCTAGCTGATGCCAAGCCCCAGCTCGGTGATGAGAACCTCGTGAAACTGATTCACAATTCTTCAAATCTTAAGTTACACCATCAGCGAAGAAGTTGCACAAACGACGAGTAATCATCAGCGCTAATCCAATATTCTTAATGACCTGTGGGCAAGACTGCTGTTTACGTTTTGGGACGTTTCTATGCTTAGGTGTCGTTAGGACAATGTTTGGTTGGAACGGTGTTTGAATGCATCCAGTGTGTCATTTTTCAAAGCTTAACAAGTTTTGTGGTCATGACGTCATCTTGCTGGAACTCTACCCAGACGCAACCACTTCAATGGGGCCTCAACACTTGTGGGAATGTGGGAAGTAGGTGTGACGACTGAAAACATACAGGGGGTGTCCTATTAATTTTCCTAGGCCGGGAGCGGTTTGTGTGTTGTGTCTGTCAAGAACCATGTTTATTCACTTCTGGATTGCTGGTTGATTGGCTGAAAATATATAAAATAAGACTCCCTCAAAACAGGAGGCACAGTGGCACAGTGGTTAGCCTTGCAGCACCGGGGCCCTGGGGTGCTGTCCGAGTGGAGTTTGTACATTCTTGCTGTGTTTGCTTGGGTTTCTTCCAAGTGCTCTGGTTTCCTTCCACACTCCAAAGACTAACTGGCCTCTGGGAAACGTGGCCCTGGTGCGAGTGTGTGTGAGACTGTTTGCCCTGCGATGGACTGGAATCCCGCACAAGGTGTATCCTGTCTGGCCTCAGCTGCTTGCTGAAACAGGCCCCGGCTCTCTTGTGACCATGAACTGGATGATGCAATTAGAAAACAGCTGGAGAGCTATTTTCAACCCTTTTACCTAGTGTTGTAATTGGAGATTAAGGATTTTATTGTAGCAAATTGAAAGTCTAGTGTCCGATCATATCCTGCATATTAAATCCACATCAGGAAAGGTTTTTTCCAAAATCTCTTCTCCTCAGTATAAATTATCCTACATTTAATACATACAAATGACCAAGTTTATTAAATATTATTATACAGATTACTACACGCGACACGCTATAGACACATTCTTGAAAAGCGCACTATATAGTGAATCAATGGCTCTCAAACCAATTTCCTCCAGAAGCATTAATGGAAATGGGGGGGGTGGATTCTGGGACTCACCAGTACAGTTCCTACACTCTCATAAGTAGTACTGAGTTACATTTGTTCAAAATGAAAATGCACACAAGTAAAGACGGTCATTAATGAAGGTGTCTGTGGTTGCTTCATGCTAAATAAAGGAGGACTGGGCTCCACTGCTGGCAAGTCCATTTAAAGCGAAGGCGTTTCCCCCAGAACACCGATGGTGCCAGGGTGCTGTTCTCTTGTTACGTGGGGGATATTGGTTCCTTTCAGTGTTTTTCTTCGTGTACACTGGACCTGATAATCAACATTTTACGTCCTCTCATCCTCTGTAACCAGTCAACTGTTTCTACTTCTGTGTATTCGCATAGATGACTATAGCGTGGTAAGACACAGAGGATTGCAATGACAGTAAAAGGCTTGGTTAACAATGTGACAATACCATGTTCAGAAGCAACTCTGCACCAAATGCTGCCTTATAACTTATGACTCTGGAGTTTCAGTACGAGTTGAAATTCTAAAGCACTGGGCAGTGGAAACCAATCTTGGGATAAGTATGAAGGTATTACAAGGCCTTGCTGCATTTTGAGAGGGTCATGCTACAGCGGCAGGTGTGAAGGTCCCCGGAGGCAAGCCGAAAACAGAAAAGTGTAACCCACCTGTCTGCAGCAACAACTTCTCCTTTTCTTCCTTCGAGAGAGTGTGCTCGGGTTTGAAGCCACATCCCTTGCCCGTCAGCTCCTGGCAGGCCTCGTCAAACCCCCTTTTATGGTGGGGCCGAACAAACTGATAGAAATCTGGACGGACGAACAAGGCAAAGAGAAAAAGCCAAGCTGAACCTTGCAGGACTGAGGAGTTCTAAAGGAATCAAGGTCCTTGAATCCGACCCCGAAGTCAAACCTTCCACCAGCCGGACAAATGCAAATTCCAAACTCCGTACCCACTGGCAAGTCTCCAGTGGGAACAGAGGAAGGATGGCACAGATAAACAAAGTTGCCATTAAATCGATGTTGAGCAATTTATGGATTAACCAGTGGTTTTAGTCCTGCCAACAGTCTGTTTGTATTAACAACTTTTATGTGTTCTCAAAAAGTAACTAATACGCAGATACTACTAGTTAGATATTTACTAGCCATGTTATTAGGAGCCTCCTAGTGAACAATACATTGTGCTTCAACACGTCAACTGAACAGCTTGAGCAAGGCGTAAAGGTCTTCACTATCTCATTTCCTACCATTCACATTTTCCAGCCCATTCACCACCATTTGCATGCAAAGTGGTGATGGGGAGTAAAGGAATTTGGCATCAAACTGCGCATTCCAGCCAGGCAAGGTGATAAAAGATCGGCTCTTGCTCTTCGAGACAATTAAACACCGAATGTGAGTTAGGAAATTAAGGTCATCATGTTTTCCGGGGGGGGGGTTAGGAAGAGTCTAAAATGTAAACAGATCCCTGAGCATGCCATAGGAAGAGCAATGACATAGTTTTCTGTCTGGAGACTAGTCACAGATTGCCAGACTAAATATTTCTAAACATACTAAACTGCATCACATTAGAGAACGTAAAAGAAACAAAAACTAACTTGTATCTCTATATCGCAAAGCTGCATAGCTTTGGAGACACCTGAACACCACTTCCCTTCTTTGTATATGTACTTCTGTGTTGCGTGAGCAGAGATCCAAGTGCTTGCGTACTTGGCGAATGACTGTTATTTAAAGTACTAGGGATAAATAAACTTTAGAAAATGTACTTCACTATTCTGAACTGTTACGTTCAAAGCATCTTTTATTTGAGAGAAAGAGAACAGTCCCATTTTACTTTACCAGTAAAGATAATAAATACTCTACAGAAACTAATCTAATCTGGAGGAACCAAAGCATGAACTTTTCGCTGTGGCAGCCCTTTCAAAGGATCAGACATTTCTTGTTTATAATAATGATTTAGACTATTTACAGTATTGTAAGGAGGATTTAAGTATTGTGAGGAGGATAAAATAAGGGTTTATTTATATTTCAGGCATGAGCAGGAAGAGGAATTTGCAAACAAGAGTGTATATTACACAAAAAAGAGCATTATACAATTATACATTTAATAAATTCCCTTAATAGTTTTGTATTCTATAAAGGGGATTTTGCTTTTTCCTCAAGCAGCCTACTGATTTCAAAAACTGTGATTTTTGCTTTCCTCTGTCACAAAGTCAAACATTCTAATCTTTCCTTTTACGATAAGTCATTCCTTACCAGCAGTGGTTTTGGTTTTCCCTGCTCTTCAAATGTCCCCCAGGGTTATTTAAAGAAACTCAATTTTACTTCCTCAAAAACAACAGAAAATTGGCAACCGATCAAACGAAAAAGAACACACTTCATAAAACTCAGGCTTCGTAAAAATATTCTTAACGCCATTTATTCAAATACGGCTTTAAGGTGATATCATTTAAACAAATTGATTTTATAGAAATATATTAACACTAATGTCCATCTTTTTCCCTGCTGAAACATTTGAGCACATTTGAAAATGTGTCCTTGTTGCTGGGTGAGCAACATGATAAAACAGTGATCTAGAACGGACATTTACATAAAACAAGTTCATAAATAAAATGAATTATCTAATCTAACATGGTAGGGAACAACATATTCGCTCATTGGTCTCCATTATCTGGAAGCCGCTTATTCCCGGAAGAGTCACGGGACCCTGGCGCCTGTGCCATAGGCATAGACTGCAATGCAGAACAACAGGCTGGACAGAAGGCCAGTCCAGGGCGGGTTCTAGACCCACATGAGGATACAGGAACAGGGCAGGGGTGCGGGTTAACCTTGCCAGAACATAGAACAGGTGGGAGGAAATTGGTTCACTCAGAGAAAATCCAGGCAACAGCTGAGGGAGGGGACATGCAAACATGCAGGTGGATGCTGCACACTGGTGGTGGTGGTGGAGGGGAGTCCCCATGACCTGTAAAGCGCTTTGAGTGGAGTGACCAGAAAAGCGCGATATAAGTGTAAGCAATTATTAATTACGAATTATTATTATTAAACTCCAGACAGAAGCACCCAAATCTAAAAAATGAACTGAGTACCAAAGAACCTGGAGATGCTAATCTCTCTTAAGCTGATCTTTGACAGCAATGACTCCAATTTGTGGGTTTACATTGTGATTGGCAGTTTTAATCTTGACACTCACCAGGACGACATAACTACCACTTGGCTACAACACAAGAGCATGAAACCAGTAATTAATCTATTCACATTTATGTTGTTACACTTAAGAAATGAGGGCAGAACGTTTGACTCTGGGACAGGATGCGGTGTTGGATACTGTACATTTACAACTGTCCCAAACACCAACACAAAATGGAGTCAGCCGCCCACCTCTGAGTAAGTGATGCTTGTTGGAATCCCCCGCGAAGAGCTCGGCGAGCTCGGCCAGCACGGCGCCCAGGTCGTCGGCTCTCTTGTACTGCTGCATGGCCTTGGTGAAGCGCTCGTAGCTCGCCTGGCTCAGGGCCTGCCGCACGCCGGCCATGAAGGCCTTGGCCTTGTCCGCCTTGGTCTGCTCCGAGGCGCTCAGAGAGCCGCTTCGGTCCTGGGAAAAAAACGGAGAGCGCTTTTTTTCGGACCAGGTCGGAAAAGGAAATGGCAAGGCTCACGTTTCCAAGAGCGACACTGCAGCCGTGTGAAGTGGGCCCAACCTAAATTCTGAAAAACCCCTGACACCCGAAACAAGCATGGGTCACTGCTGGAGCCTGGGAATATCCGCTGCCCCAGCCAGTCAGGCTGTGCACGCCAGCTCATCTGGTAAACATCTCTGTCCACAGCCTGAACCAGGGCGTCGTTCTCCAAGCTGTGGTCCATGCTCTAACAGGCCCCGATACCTCTCAGGGCTGGACTTGTTCAAGGAGGCTTTCATCTCGCTGCACAGTCGGACCTCGGTCAGTCCTGCACGATCGACTACTAGGATGGCCTCCTCCATGGCTCAGCCTTTGAGGTCAAGGAGTTTTGCCACTACGAAGGCTGAATAGGGGCTACACCTGGCTAATGCCGACTGTCTTACATACAGTAAGATTGTGCAGACCTTTCAGATATGCTACAAAAGGCAGGTGTGGCAAAGAGCAATTCGGTTCACAAAAAAGTGTAAAGACAGCAATAGAGAAAACTGAACATTAAGCACATTCATGTAACATTAAAAATATGTACTTTATTTTAGCAAGGAAAAATCAGGCACACCTCATTTGTGAATAAAGGTTGGACTATATATGTAAAGGTGAAAAGAACGTGCTATACGCATTTTACAAAGCACAAGGTACAGATATAATTAGTTGTAGGAGCAGCTGTCCTTCAGATGAGTCATTAAACGGAGCTACATACTATGCCATCTTACTAAAGAGTAAATGTTCGTGAGTGCAGGGGTGTGAATTTCGGGTGTCCTGGCTAAAGGTCACTGTGGGTTTACAATCTGAGCCCTGTACATTTCTCCCCTTAATTCAGCTGGGGAAGCCTCTTCTCCACCTGCCGTGCTGTGAGGAGGGGCCGCTGTTGCATAATGACTGCTATAACACACTCAAGTGGGGTCTGCCCTTCAGTCCATCTCTATGGTTCAGCTACAGAAGTGCCACTGTTACTCGAAACATACCATGAAAACAATACTGTTGAGAAATGAAGGGAGGGGACACAGTACGTAGCACCAGCTTATATCCTGGACATAAATGGTGGCCACACTGAGCTGATAGCTCTCGCTCTGATGGGTATTAAGAGTGGGGAGATCCACACATGGCCCATGGCCCCACTCATCTGTGACACAGTTTGCACGATAAGGTGGATGGAAAAAGCCCAGCCAACTATAAAGCCATGATGTAAATTACTTTCACAGGAGAAACAAAAAGTGTCAGACAGGTTACGGTAACCCTGGGGAAACGAACAGGCTCGCTTTCAGAAAAGCAAAGCAGCAAGATGGATATTCGTAGAGCACACCTACCCTGTCCTGGACGACTTTAATCCTTCTCTTCCCTCCTCGCAGCTCGTCCTCTAATCGCTTGTCATGCTGAAGGGACAACGTTGACAACCGGCTGGCCTACAGAATGAAATACGTTAGGTCAGGGCTATCCCTGTGGTGCAGACACTGATACAGGTTCAATTTCCCCAAAACAGCACCCCGTGACATCCTAACAGGTGAAAGAAAAACAGCACTTACAAGGGTGAAGCTGTGAATTCCAGTGCCAGCTCCGTAACGGATCAACGAAAACAATTAAACCCAACTAAATCCCAGGGACCGCTCAAATAGAGGATTTATTCTCCATCCCACTCCCATCATTCAAACCCAGCTGACGAAAAACGTTTGCCCAGCAGTTTTTACTCTTAACAGAACAATAAAAGAGTAACTGCAAAGTACGGCAGTACATTTAATGGATATCTCAGAAGTCCCTCTGAAGTACTGTCATTCTACGCAAAAAATGAGCTACCTTTTAAGAAGGAAAGCATGAGCCACGAGTACATCTAAAAGTGTGCATCTGTGACAGGATTTTGTTTTGTCGATTCAGAGATTCATTCTGCAGTAACTGTTACTGGGCTGCAAATACTGCATAAACATACTGTAAACATGAGCAGTTACAGCACATCTCAGCCCACATTACCTGGGAAATGCATAATGAGGGGATGTGGGAAAAAAAGTAATGTGAGAAAGGACTTGATAAAAAAAGAACCCTTTTCCTGAAGCTGCCAATTTGTTTGTTTTTACACATGCTGTTTAACATTTGACTGGGTCTGATGATTTTCATCTGCATACACGACTCATTAACTCAGGTGTGTGCATGTGTGGTGACCTTTAGGAATAGTATGTGTGCTGCAGAGTGTACTGTAACCTGTGAAACACTGGACGACCTGCTACATACAAAAAATAAACACTAACACTTAGTACTAGGACACCAATAAAACCAAACGCAAAGCTTCACTGATCTGAAATTACACCTTTTTCATACAAGATAACCCAAGCCTAATGCGATTTGTTAGTCACACTTGCAAGTCACACTTTGACAGGACCAGGAAAGGTTCCACAGATGCTAAAGGCTGCTTCTTCCTTTATCTTCAATTGCACTTTCTGAATTGTTTAAGCACAGCATCAGAAAACCTCAGGGCTCACAGGGAGAAAGCAGAATCAGACTGTATTCTGGGCAAATCGTATTCAGTACTTTCTGGGAGATCAGTAAAGTCAAGCAGCCTACATAAAGTATTACTGGGAACTCAGTAAGGGCTGAATGGAGTCTTATGATACTACACTCTGCACAGGTTGTGGTTGTGTGTGACAAACCTTTGTTAGAGACCGGTATAAACACTACAAAATGTCTAGGCTAGACTGGTCTAGTAAATAAAAGCATGAACCAGCTTCTCAGCATCAAAATATGACTAAAATCATTTTGAAATATTTCTAAGATAATACATTGTCTTGTAGTATTTTTGAGCTGTGAATCAAGGCTTAATCTTTTATCAAAGATTATATTTTTCTTTAGATTTTAAACTAAAAAAAAAACCATTGAAATCCTTTGTCAACAGATTGACAGATCCAACATACTGCTTTGGCACAGAACCTACTACCAAAAATATAACGCTAAACTAAATTTTATTCAGTAGAACAGTCAAGTCCTAAATAATGAGATGAAGATTTATAATTCTAGTATAGCAAACACTCAATTTAACAGTCTTTGGATTTAACAGACAAAGTCTGCTATAGGTGAATCTATAGGTGAACCTTGTATGTAAAAAGTGAGACTTGCAACCACAATAACATTTTAATACACAACTAAGTAAAAATAAATACTACAGGTTTAAAATTCAGGAAAATCAAAGGTGCCCTATATGGGTACTTCAATTGCTTTTGAAGGGTGTTTTATATACTTTAGTGACTTCTACACAGTATATTTACGACACACAAAACAAATTTCATCAACTGTTAAAAAAAATCAAAGGATCCAGAAACCACACACACACAAGGCTGATGCAAAGCAAAGAGTGGGGAAAAGATTGAAAATGCTTGACGGAGGAAAACTGCAAATTATGAACTCTGAGATGGTCCGAGATGTTTGGGGTCTCTAAATGTTCTTCAAGAATGCCTCTAGGATGAGTCTGAGGTGTACTTAATTTACTGTACTTAGTTAATACTTAGTGTACTTAATACTGGTCACCAAAGCGACAAAATAGTGCTTTTTTGACAGATATCATCTAAGCCACATAAAAACTTTCCCAGAAACCAACCCATTTTTCAAAGCAGTCTATTAAAATATCACAATGTACAGCATTAATTGTGAATCTTCACTTAAAAGCAGGTCCTCTGATCCTCTGATAAGCATGGCATCTAGTGTAATGTGGTCTAAATCCTGACTGAGAGTTTTCAAGAATAGCATTCCAGGTGGTTCAGTGTCTTAACACAACTTTTTTGCCCACCAACAAAAGCGTTTTTGAAAATTTGAAATTAATCTAAAATGACCTACAAGTGAACTGCTGAGGTAAACATGGTTTTACAAGAGACCTTAAAAAAGCAGTTTTACAAGTTGGGAACTACTGCCGTTTCCAGAGAACTGATTATAATAACAATAATATGCTTGATATAGAATATCGTTTAAAATGTAGTAATTCCAAGATCTATAAAATTACTAATACATTTGATTTGCATAATTATCATACTGACTTCATGGGAAGGAAAATGACTCAAAAGACACTTTACATTGCTTCAGGGGAATAATGAACTTGCAGTAGGACCACTGGTGGAAGCGTGCTTCCTCATCTGAATCTAAAACAATTATTCATTCACTTCACAGGCGAGAAGCTGCCAATATTGCCAGTACGTGAAGCATATGAGTCAGCAAGTCGATCTACGGCAAAGGGCTTACTATCATTTTTATCAAAATAAAACAAGTGAAATGTTACCTCTCCGGAATTATACCTCCAAACCTTGACAGTATATGCAAATTCATCTGAACAGAAAAATCATATTTAACTTGAAGTGTTATTCATGAGCTATAATCCATGTGCTACAAATGAGCTATCCATGTCAGTTTGAAGCACTCACCGGAGATGAGTGTTGCATATCTAGGGTGTTGTGCATCTAGGGAGTCATCTTGATTGCTACAACTTCAAAAGCTGTTGTGTAAAGATGAGTGTAATGATTAATTTTATGACTCCCTCTCAGTTTTATACATTATATGTTAAGCTCACAGCATGGCCATCACAATACGTCACACTATTGTTTCAACTGTTAAAATGACCAGGACTAGAATTATTCCACACATATTGTGATTCATGCATTTTCTCATTGAATGCAGGAGTACACATAAAGCAATTTGTTTAATCTTTTCACATGCAGATAATTTCAAAGAGGACCAAACTTAGTTCATTGAGTGTTCACATAAAGAAGTATTTCAGTTGACGAAGACCAAGTTCTTTACACCGGTCCAGTCCAGTATTTATGTCGACCGATTCTTGCCTCTCTTTGCTCTGTTGAAATGGACCCCATTAAACTCCAAGACAACAAACACCACATCCTCAAATGTTGCTGAAGATGGCTGCCAGAGAATGACTTTTACAATACTGTATATTTATAGGATTGCTATTATGTGCGTTATCATAAGTATGTAAAAGCTAACCTGATAATAACTAACAGCGATATGACTTATCACAGAACATTGAGCCTTGTAATGAGAGCAAAGTTAATGTAATACAGGGCTGAACTGGAGCTTTAATAGAGAAAACACAAACCCAAGCAAGTGTGGCTCCAAGTCCATTTTCCAGCTCAGCTGTACTGTAATGTGATCCAACATTCTCAGAAAAGGCTGACTTACAAGCACACAATCCTGTCCTCACATTTGCCAAGCAGTGTGATGGCTAGAGATGCCTTACTTTACATTTTATGTTTGTTTGCTATTTTTCTCACTTGTTAAGATGCAAAATAATGTTTGAAGAAAGAAATGTTACAACTACACAACCCAACCGCAGGTCATTCAATTCACTTTGGATGTACTAACATAATTACTTTTTCGACTTATTTAAGCTCAATATCCAGAATAAGTTAATTTAGAATTTTAAACCTATTGACTCGAAACCTAGTTTTATTTCAAAGCTATGAATTATCAGTATGTTTTAAAAAGATCAAAATATTTTTTTCATTGTTATCCTACATACCTAAAAACAAAAAGCGTTTAACTAGATTTGACACTCTGAACAAACGTAGCACTGTACTCCTCACTCTATCCCAGCAATGCAAATGAACTACCCTGACTTTCACTTTTCCCATTAAAAATTAACTGCCGAGTGTCCTGTTTAATAAAGGATCTGGGACAGATTCCATAAAAATAAGGAGATCTAATCTCCTATTACTGAAAAATCAGTATTTACAACAGATTAAACCATTGTTACTATCCTGAACAGAAAACATTTCAGATGTAAAGAAGTAATATGAATTAATTCTGAATTAATTAATTAATTCCAGGTGGAAGCTGCACACTGGTGGTGATGGAGGGGAGTCCCCAATTACCTGTAAAGCGTTTTGAGCGGAGTGTCCAGAAAAGCGCTAAAAGTGTAAGCAATTATTATTAATTATTAATTTTAAACATTATGAGAAAGGGCATCTTCTGGAAGGGTCTACCTATGAGACAGCAGGAAAAAAAACTAATGTTTGCCAGTATAAGAAAGCCACGACATTAATACTGTCATACTGTAAATGATTAAAATCTTTTACTGTATGTGTTATCTGTCAAGTGTTATTCAACAGTATTTTTAAGGTCTACGTCAACTTCATGAGAAGACACCTCACAGCTTGAAATCACTAGACATCACTTCCCAGCCATGATTCACTGAGTGATTCGAATGGACACCATGGATAATTTTACTGCCAGGTTTCAAAGCTGCAAAGAAAATTATGCTTGAACTCTGGATTGTACCTGTTGTGGTCACATTACGTTTCTGGCCAGTTACGAGAAGGGACAAAGTTAATCATGAGTAATCAGCTGCCACACTGAGTGGTGTGAAGCTGTGCACATTAGAGACTAGCCTAACAATAGTTAATATTTAACTGTACATTTAATTACTATGTTTGTGTTTACGCTTCATATATATATATATTTCCAAGTGGGTTCTGTTTTCAAGTTTTCTCTCTTTTTAAAAAAAGTAATGAACTGTTAATCACAAGAAAATGACAGTTCTCGATCACATCAGCATTTCCCAGAACTCTAGACATGCACGCTGGCAGGATTTAAAGGGGAACTGCAATCCCAATCTCCCAGACTGGTTACTAAATCTCTGTAACAAAATAAATGAATTGACGTTCAAGAAAAAAAAATGTACACATTTCTCATTAAGCACCAACTTGTGAACGTTGTGAAAGCACTGTAAATTGCCATGTTGTCGCAAACTCGCATTTGAATTCCCGCGAACTGTGACGTGATTCGGCCCTTCCCGCTCACTAGTCTCGGTGACGACTACTGTAATGCGATGTATGAGTGAATAAATACGGGTTGTGCAACAGACGTTTCACTGCTGAAATGTTCCAACGTGATCTGCATGCAGAGTTAACAAGAAAGTAGCATTTGTCTGCAAAACTGTCTTGAAGTCGAGAGCAATTGGATTATTGGATTAAAAAAAAGTTGTGTTCACAAGCCTGCTTGCTTACACTGCCATAAGGTTGCACACGTCACCAGATGTTTTGGTGCCTCGTCCTGAACCGCAGAACATGTTTCTGCACATACCTGGAAATTTAGTTTATTTTGTAATGTAAATTGGAGGTTTCACTAGTCACTTTTGTTGTGGTTTGAAGTGCACTCATCAATGCCAATTCTTTCTAACCCCGAAATATAAAAATAGCACTGCTGGTCCGTTTTAACCTAAAGCAGCACTGTTGACTTTCTACCTGGACATCTGATACCAGACTGACTCATTTAAAAAGCTGTGGTAGTAGCAGGCGTCAAGCAAGTGAAATAGGTCCTGCATGTCAGCTGTAATGTCTCACTTCTTGGTCTCCTGTGTTTAGATCTTGTCCACATTTGCCTTCCAGAAGCTTCCAGGGAAACCCGTACGCCTGTGTGCGCTGAAAGCTGAAAGAGCGAGTCTGAAGCTGCGCTCAAGTAGCTGCAGGAGAGGTCTGATTGGTCTTCACGCGTCCCAAGATAATGGAAGATTAGAACTCCTACACCAGTGGCAGTGAAAGGGCTGAAAGGATGGCGAAAACAAATGAATTCTAAACAGAACCAAAGTGTTATCTGTTTTTGGCCTGTTGCAAAATGTGCGCATTCTTCTTAATCGAGACAGCAAGTAAAACAAATCCTGTGCAGCTAAGTTACCCTTTTCTACTTTTTACACTAAGCTTGTGTTATAATGGCTGACCCACGAACCACAAATGAGTCGGCATACCACCTTCACACCTGTGCGTTTGAGTGTGGTCTGTTGCTGTGTTGCTCTGGGCTCCTAGATCTACCAGAAACCTCCTTTCTGAGAAGCCGGCGCAGCTCAGTTGCTCATCCCTCAAAGCTCTGAAGGAGCCAACACTCTGCCGATGATCTCGGCTATCCTCAGGCAATCTCTGGAAGGCCGGAACAGGTAAATTCCTCCCCACCACTCCATGTCTCTTTATTACATGAAACACAAACTTGTCCATTTTCTACTCTGACACACCCCGGTGTGCTTAACGGGGCATAAACCGTTACACCCAGTCTTCCTACTATACTCTAATCAGTACTCATCATCTTCCCTGATGAGACACTGAAGCCTTCTAAACTAAACGTGGGAATATTCTTCCCAAATGACTGAACTGTAAATCACTCTAGATCTTTCTTTCAATAATCAAATCAAGGCTGCAAGCCTGAGAGCTGGCGGTAAATCACAGGGGCCAAAAGACGACTCCTGTGCTATCCAGATTCTCTCTACATGTATTCAGAACTGCACAGGAGCCTAGATGCAGACCTCTAGTTCTTATCCTCCTTGCTACTGACATAGACCATTTTTTTAAACTACAGGCTACCTATTACCCACAGAGCCTATCAGTTACGATCTTTTCCTCTCACTGACAGTTAGAACGCGTCGAATTTTCACTCCAAAAAGTGGCTTTAAACAAAGCCCCAACCTCCACACCATCACCACAGCCAGGTATGGTAAATAATAAAACACTTCCTGTTTCTAGGTTTCCTCAGGGGGGACACAGCAGTCAACAGGGGCTGCTGGCACGGTTCCCTATTTCAATATTTTGCATAAACACTACTATTTTCATATTTCATATTATATATTTTGTATATAATTTTTCTATAATATATATATAAATATATAGTATATTTTGAGATAATGAAGAAAACAATACGCACACAATGCTCAGTACAGCTATATGGACCTAGAACAGATAGGCGTGCTTGGAATGACCATACCTGATCTGAGAAAGAGCATGGTATTGGTTTTCACTTTGTCAGAAAAGCAAGACAATTTTCCCAACAGTTCATTTGAAATATAAAATCTTCAAACTCACCTGCTGAGTCACTCTGATCAGAATTCGTTAAACTTAAATTTATTGTGCTGTTCTCAGGGAAGCAGTTACTTTTAAAAAGCTGAAAGACGACTACAAAACAGAAGGAAGTGTTTGCATTACTTTTCCTGTAACTTCCACTGTAACATCTTACTCAGTGTTGTTTTATTACCTGAGTGCACTGTGAGGTTTTGTTTTTGCTTCTGGTTAGAGTGCAGTTTTCTATTGATATTAACTCATGCTCAGGAAAGCTCATCAGTTACTCAGCGTTAAAGCTCAGTGTTACCGGCACAACAGGCAATAGGCATTCTGGGAAAACACAGACTGGCACAGCAACAGCTTTGGAATTGAGAAGAACAAGCAGAACTAATTACAGTGGCGAAAAGGAACTCATAAAAGGGCAACAGTTCAATAGATTATTTTTAGGTTTCCTTATGTTTGCAGCTGCTTTCAACCCGTGCACAGTGGTTAAACAGGTCCAGGTGAGATTTCATCCAGCTAATGTCATGCAATTTGGCACCATGTTAGACTGGCAAAATCCATCAGCCTGCAGCCCCTGAGGACTGGATTTTCAGAAGCCTTTTCAAATGCCTTCTCCCCCCCCCCGATCAACACTGCGCTCAGTGACATGAAGCGTCAACAACAACAAAAAACGATTTCCAGCCTATCCTTTTAATCCCCCTCACCTTTTCCTCTCCCACCAGGTGCTCCTCTTCCTCCCCTCTCTTCCTCTCATTATGATCTAGGGCGTCTAACAGGCTCGCTGGCTTCCTGCGCCCCGACTCCATCTCGCTCTCGTACTCGATGCACAGCCTCGAAAGGCCGTCTTGTGCCGCGGGATCATCTGAGGGGGCAGAAGGACCCACGTGGCACAAACGAAAGCAGCAAGCAAGCCGAAACTCAACTGCGGCGCTGTGGCTGGAGGACCTGGAGAACTACCGGCGCCGTGCTGACACGTGGGATTGTCCTCGTCACAATCGCCGCCAAGAGCTCACAAAACCGTTACTGCGCAGACGGCAGTGAAACATCCAGATCTGCTCCTCTTGCGCTGTTTTTTTTTCCCCTTTTTGGACAGGCAGCGCGTTTCCAGTTCTTTCTAAGCCATCCCCTTTCTTCCTGCACCGCCGCGTTTGCTGAGCTGCCGTTTCCCCCTTGCGGGGAAAGGGCCGTTTCGTGGGAGTACTCACCAAGCCGTCTCTTTTTAAGACTCGGGACGTGTGCGTCTAAGGCCTTGGCTTTCTGCACCGAGAGGCCCCGGGCTGACAACGGTGAGGCAGAGGCTGCGCAGCTGCTGGACGTGTCCCTCGAAGAACACACTGCCGCACACTTGGACAAGGACGCCTTTCCTTTGGGAGGAGGCACCTGAGAAATATGGACACAGCAGATGTTCAGGTGACGGGCGTCTCTTGTGGGATCAGTAAGATTGGTTCCCATTTTACAATTAAGGTTTCCATATCCTTTTCCGTCATCCTTGTCTGCTTTTGACCGTATCTTATCTTCCGTTCTCCTGTGTGCAGATTATCTTTGCTAACGTCTGCTCCTCCCTGTCTCTTTAGCTGAAAATCCCAGCTCCTTTCATCTTTTATTCCTAGCTGCACAAAAGTGATCACCTTCTCCTGCGCGACTTGAACGGTTTGCAAGACGAAGGCATATCGATCAAGGCAGCGAAAGACAGCAGGCAGATCACCAAAGCAGCCAAATATAAAAAAACAAAGAGCTTGAAAGGAGAAGTGACATGCGTCTTCCTCCGTACAGCTACTCCTGCAGAGTTCCTCGAGGACTTGGGGAGAACTGTGAAGGGAATCAACTCTTTACAGAGAAACGCGCAGCAAAGGGAAAACTGGGGCAGCATGAAATCCACAGACGGTCTTTGTGAATTTTTGTGGGCCACCACTTTTAGTATTACCGTTTCCTCTTTGTAGCCTTCAATGATAAAGGCACTGCTTACAGAACCACATTACAGAATAAAACGCTCCAAGAGCGCAGGAAAGTTGCTCGGGTGTCTCACCCAGAATGGGCAACCATGTTACAACCCCAGAAGCGGTCAGAACAAAGCAGGTCAGTAAGGCCGACTGTGTCCACACCGAACACAGGGGACCGTGATGAAAGCAAGCAGACCATTGTTCAGAGGCACAAATAAAAACCTTGGATTCTTACTGCCTCTCTTGCTAGAAACAAAATTGGGAAATACTTTCATTAATCCATTTTCAAGCCTCTTCTTCCCATTTGGAGTTGTGGGGGAGCCTGAGCCTATCCCAGCAAGTGATGGTCACAAAGCAGGGTACACCCTGTGGCACGTCAGTCCATAGCAGGGCAGACAGACACAGAGACACGCACACAAGCACACCTAGAGCCCATTTTCCCAGAAGCCCATTAACCCACCAGTATGTCTTTGGACTTGGGGAGGAAACACAAACTATATGGTAGAGCATACAAACTCCACACCTCAGAGAGCACCCCAGCTCTGGAACTGAATCCCTTGTCAAAGTGCTATAGCACTGTGCGGCCCATAGCAGAAATACTTACAGAATAATACAGTTTTTTACTTATTCTTTTCATTAAAAAAAAAGATTAGAATACATAATCATTAAAAAGAGTATAATTACCATTTGAGTTTACCGATACGTGTAAATGCATTTACTGTGTTGTACTGATCTGTTCAACCTGCACCAAGAGGCTTGGTTATAGCACATCTCCCTCAGTTAGCATGAAAAGTGTACCACCACCACAGTCAACTTTATAAAATGGCCTGACCATTTCACAATAGTGGTCTCAATGACTTGCATGGCTGGAGACCTGTAATGAGATGCAGATGAATGTGGCTTAATAAACACTCGGTCGTGTAGTTGGGATTCATCTGCATTTCTCATTTTATTGAATTAATACTTATAAAGCCTGATGTATGTATTATAACAATCAATTATTTGGATCTGATAACTGTTTGCTATTTGCATCTTGACTTGAGAATGGATTTTTCAGCTTTGGTTTTCTTTTGGGAGGGGGATTTCCATGTGGCTATAAATGAATGACCTGCTTGTGTTTTAGCTTAAGATATTTACCGGGACTGAATATCTTCAAACTGCAGACATAAATGCATGTCTTCAGCAAAATGATTCCTTTTCCTCATTTTTTAAAATACATTTGATGAGGGTTGGCCATCTGTTTCTAACTTCTTTGAATTGTCAGACACTTTCTCATTTCCGTTCTCTGCCATGGCCATCCGTGATGGTCCCAAAAAAAAAGTTGGAGAAGTGAAAGCTTGTTTACTTCTCTATTTTATAAAAATAATATGCATCCAGACCGATGGCTGACCAATGCTCTGACAACTCTTCACCAAAAAAGGCAGCAGAAAAATCTAAAATGCAATAAAAAAACACCTAGTGAGGAAGTTAAAGCTCAGGCGATTTCATAGGAACTCATTTCCTAATGGAGCAGAACCCACAGCCCTGGTGTATTTGTAATCGGGGGGAGGGGGCGAGTCAAAACCGCAGGTTGTAAAGATAACACTTTCTCCTTTTAGACTTCTGACCCATAAGTGCACTCTTTACGTCGAGAATCTCTAAGGAAAGTAAAAAGATACCAGAAATCTGTAAAATAAATGAAATAAAAAAATGTCACACTGTAGGTCCAAGTATAATATTCTGTAGCCTGACATCTAACCACTTTCAAATGAGAAATGGGAGCAATGTACAAAGTAACACACACACACACACACACACACACACACACACACACACACACACACACACACACACCAGGGCAAATTCTTCCAGAACAATTAACCTGCCATCCTGTCTGGCCACGCCATCCCACCTCACCCATGTCTCTGTTACATTACGGTTTAAAACTTTCCGCCGGTTCGGTTACTCACGATCTTCTGAGCCACTCTGAAAAACTGCGCCACGTCTCGTATCACGTGTCCGAAGTTGTCGTACACTCGGACGTAGGGGCGGACCCAGGAGGGTAACTGCGACCGCGCGTCGGCGGACATAAACCTGAAGGGACAAGGCGGCAGGCGTCAACTCTTCCAGGTCGTTACCCACCCACCCTGTATCCAGACAGCTCCAGGACCACCACAAAACGTCCTCAAGTTAGTCGGGACGCCTGTCCATTGCACACTGACGGGTTACCGGGACACCGATTACTGGATCCTGCAACCCAGGACCCAGGAGCAGTGACGCAGCAGCGCTAATCCCTAGGCCTCCATGCCACCCCTTTTGCCATTATTGTATTTACTGTCAAACAAACAGGTTGGTGAGTCACACCCAAGTGACTCACTCCAGTAAAGGGGGTTGCCCACACGGACATTGATCTCTGTGCTCGTCTGTTCGAGCCTGGGACACGTTACTAGCGGACTGTGACTGGAATTCCCCATACTTGGGCACACGATTGGCCTGACAAGAGCAGGGTGGGGGTTAGCTGACTGGGGCTCATCTCTTGGCATCACAGCCCCCCCCCCTCAAAGACAATAAATGAGTTTATTGTCATTATACTCATATACAGGTATATGGTATAACGAAATGCTATTTAGCTAGCTCTCAGACAGCAAGAAGTATAAAAAAAACTAACAACAATACAATTGTATAAGAAAAGAAAGACGGAGACAACAGGCAATGTTCTCCCTTTTCTAAACAATGATTCTAAATTTGTCATTAAGAAAATACTTTTTCACCCCCGGCTTACAAAGCAGCATTCTAAAAGCCCAACAAAACATGAAAGCTTGTTTTCTTTGCTTTTTCAAAGGCCACCCATTATGTCAGTAGCCTGTAAATGTAGCGGCTGCCAATTTGAGAAGTCAAAACATCCTTTTCCAAAACTTAAAAAGAAGGAATCGGCAATTGGAGCACTTCAGTGCCCACTATGCTATCAGACAAATCACTGTAAAGCACTGTCACAGGTGTTAGTGAGATGGTTTTGATACCTGACTACCGTGCTGTGTGGGCTTGAAAATCGCAACGACTTCTGCAGACGCTCAGAGCCACGTCCTGTCAGGTGGGACAGAAGGAGGGCGACACAGCCGCGCTCTTGCTAAGGTGTTGCTGCTCACCTGTGGTCGCACAGGAAAATGGCGCCATAATCCTCCCGGTGCCTGATGACTCTGCCGATGGCCTGGTTGACAGCCCGGGATGCCTGCTGCCGGTACCACTCCTGTCCCGACAGGTACTGATCCAGAAACACACGCAGGGACAGGGACAGGACATCAGGTCCTAGTTCTCTTTTTCATGCTTGATTTTTGTAATTTTAACTCCATCCATTGTAGAACCACTAATCAATTATAGGTCATTGCTCTGTGGTTACACAGCCTAGGTGTTGGCACAGGACTGCATGCCATTCAAAGCTTCCAGCAACTGAACCTGTATTGCGAGCTAAGTCAGAGGGAAAGACAAACACATACTGTAACAGACACTGCTCTTGTACAGCAATTCCGTCATGCTAAAGGTAATCGGAGTGGCTGGGTCGCAGACGTGACCCAGGCTTCACGAACCCGTGATTAAACAGCTCAGGCTGCGCTCTGAGCAAGAGCCTGGAATGGTCAAGTCACTCATTATTGGTCTCCTTATTTCGCACAAAATATCCTAAACCGAGAGGCGCCAGGAAAATGCTCTTTCATGCCGTTACAAATAATTATTATTATTATAGAGTGTTTGAAATCAGTAAGTTTCCACTGCATAAAAATGTCTTCACCATTTTATTTGGCTACTGAATAGGTAGATAAATAGATGCAACCTATTATCTCAAATCTAGGTTATTGTCATTTTATTTGCAGGATCATGTTTTTGACTTGTGTCCTAGGAAAACACTCTGCTGTGGATTCACGAGAGTCTTTCACGGAATGCCAACACGGTTACCACTTTAAGATGGTGAAGTTACCTCGTAGTTCAGAGAGCATAAACCTGTTAGACCTGTTTTTTTTTTTATTTTACATCACAAAGTCACAATATCCCTTACGACACCATTTTGCCTCACAGCCTGGGTGATACAGCTGCCATAGATCAAAGCAGCTTGTCACAGGTAAAGTGAAATGTCAGCAATAGCTTCTATATCTAATCATTGTCTTACTGTGCTTCCTTTTAGTCATCTTTCCTGTTGAAAATAACATTTTAATTTACCAATCAATTAGCATGTTCTTCCAGCACCTAACTCTAAAAAAAAAACCCCTAGCTGAGTCAGTATTTCTAGAATGTGCTGATGTGAAGAAGTATATTAATAAAGCCAAGACAAAAAAAGAGGAGTTCGTGTCAGGTTTCATCAAAATTCAACGGCAGAACGCCGTTTGAAAGAACAGATATCCGGCACCTACGTGTTAAAAATTAAGCTGACGGAGTGGAAAAGCTCTAGGGTGGCAGCGAACTCTCTAGAGAAGAATCGAAAAAACGTGCACGTCAGCTATACGTCTCTTTCGAAGGCCGTGGTTTAATAATACGCAGGACCCCCTTTTAGCATCAAACAGCCCCTCTCGCCCGTTACCTTCACCCCACCAGACGCTTTCCTCCGCATCTCGTCGAGAAACTGCATCTTCAGGATGACCCGCGGGTCCATACGAGGGGGGAAGGGCAGGCCGGTGATGATGACCCCTCTGCCGTTCGAGTCGGAGAAGTCCAGCCCCTCGCTGGCCTGGGAGCCAAACAGAGAGACCTGAGCAAAAGAGCGCTGTGGATCTGGGGGGTGCCTACCGCGTATGCTGTCGCCGTTTGTGCAGGGACGTACTGGACGCGCACTAGAGCGCTCTAAATGGAGACTGAAGTGGGACATGTATATATCTCACTTATCCAGCATCACAGTATCACCACTTAAGCACATTGTGAGAGGTGTTGATGGGGTCTGTTAATTTAGCCTCAGACAAAAGTTACACTAAGATGTCATAAAGCTGACTTGCTTTA